CTCGGCCCCACGTGGAGTGGAGGTTCTGACGTTACCCCCGTGCACAGACGGCGGAAATGGCGCTCCCAGGACGTTGACGGATGAGCTGACCGCGTAGCCCAGCCTTGGTCACCGGGCCCAGCTGCCCAGTAACGTGTGGGGCGTGTGGAATTGTGGTTTACCTCTGCCCCTGAACCAGTGTCTCCTTTCCTGATAGGTCCAACGGCAAAAGTGAAGAGACATTTCATAACTGAGAAATACAAACAGCAAATCTCTAAGTTGTACCGCTGACGTCCTGGGTGGAGCCGCTCGTGGCTGCCCGAACGGTGAGATGTGGCTGCTGGGCGTTTCAGGGAGCGAGGATGACAGAGGGTGACTCCGTATGGCAGCGGGCTGTGAGCGGTTCAGGGGCCGGACACACACACTCTCACACTCACACACACACATTCAGGCACTTACACATACTGACATAAACATATACACTCACACACACATACACTCACACACATACACACACATATACACACTCACTCATGAACATACACTCACACTAACACACACACACAAACTACACACACATTCACACACATACATTCACACACTCACACATACACATACACACATTCATGCAAACACACTCACACACACAAACACACTTTCACACTTACACTCCTACTTACACAGGACATACCCTCACACACACAAACACACTTTCACACTTACACTCCTACTTACACAGACATACCCTCACACACACAAACACACACACACTCAACACACTCACCCACTTACACATTCACGCACCCACACATTCAGCTGCAGTGGATTCTGAGTAGCGTGTGGCCGACTCAGGCTGTCTGTACGGGGCGATGGCGGGGTGGGCAGACGCCTCCGTGATCACTCACTGCCTTGTTAGCTGTTCTTCCTGCCTCTTCTTCTTCTCCCAAGGAGGCAGGGCAGTGGTTTTCCCACCCGGGACCAGAGTTTTTCTGCAACAACCAAGTGCTTCATTGTGGCTTACTTGGGGAGGGACTTTTGTCAGAAGCTTTGGTGGGTGGAGGAGGTCCACCAGTCAGGAACCCAAGGAGTGAGGTGTTTGGCCCATCACAGGGGAGACGGTGCGAGACGGGACCTCAAACTCCCCCACCCAGCCCGTCTTCTCTCTCCCCCCAAGTCAGGTCCACAAGGAGCGCCATGAGTTTTCTGGAACCTGGCTAGGCGTGAGGTGCAGGAAGAGAGTGTGGGGCACGTCCTTCAGTCACGCCAGCTGTAACCCTCTGATAATCAAACCATTCTCTCCTGGCGCCCCAGCCATCAGCCATGTCCATTTTCTTGACTCCATTGTTACCTGGCCTAACTCCTTCACACTCCCGCTTGTGAGTGAGCCCAGGAGCTGAACGCATCCCATTCATCATCCCCAAGAAAGTCTGCATCGATTGCAAGATTTCCAATTTCACCT